ATTTGCATAATTACATATTTCAGAGAGTATCAAGCGCCTGTTCCCCCACAAGGTGGTAAACTATGGGGAGGACAAGTTACAGAATATGGCGGTGTTGGTCCACTCCCATTTCTTGGCCGTAACAAAGTCCGTGGATCTTGAAGTCAGTCGAAGTCATCGCCACTACGCAAGTGGCTTTTCCAAATAGTAAGTGTATGATCATAGAGGGCGCTTCAGATCTCAAACAGTCCCATCTCCTGGGTTTGTTGTTGCTCTAAGTTTAATATACCCTATTTAGATGGTCTCCGAGATCTTATTGAAAGCGAGAGAGTCAAATGACTTGTTTTTGCTTCACTTATACATAAAAAAAGTGTAGTTATTTGCCTTCATCGCGTCCACTATTTTGCTTACTCACTTATGTTACACAGTGGTTGCGATGGCGGCAGGGAATGAAACATTTGGGGGGGGGCAAGGTATATTAATCGCTGTGTAGTCTATATATACAATTATGTAGCTACCTAACAACTATGTAGTAAACCAGGCTAGTCGAGTCCCAACACTTATTATATATTTCGTCTATTCGACAAATCGTTTATACTATTTGACCTCTTTAATTTATTCACAGTGAAACCGACATACAACAATGCCATCGGACATCGCTAACCAAAAGTGACTGTCGAACCAATGTCCAACTGTGAGTACAGGGGTAATTTAATACTTGACTGTCATGTGTCTGTTACCTTAGATTAGATTAGATTAGATTAGATTAGATTAGATTAGATTAGATTAGATTAGATTAGATTAGATTAGATTAGATTAGATTAGATTAGATTAGATATGCCACAAGTATATATGTAGGCTGTCAGAATGTTGTGTTTATAATCATGAAAGGACACAGCAATTTGCCCGACTATGTATGGAAGTAAATTGGACATCCATCTGTCGTCTTCAGATGAAGTCGCTATAGTGAACTCACCGCGAATACTAATAATATTATCGAATTGAGTGAAAATCGTCTTATAGGTGGTAGGTGTCAGCCCTGTTTTAACTGATAATTTTGTTTTTCTGTCAATACAGGTTGCCACCCCCATTCCACACAGATATAACCAGGTAAGTCAGTGTCACGTAAATGAATGAATGAATGAATGAATGAACGAACGAATGAATTAATGCATGAATGAAGAAACGAATGAATGAAGAAACGAATGAAGGAAAGAATGAATGATCCATTTATAATGTTTTCTAATGAGCATTTACATGTTACAATTTGGTTTATCCTTGCACAGGCATGTTCGAATCAATGATATTTGGCCTAAGCACCATCCTTATAAAACACACGTCGCAAAATTAGAGATGTTCCCAAGGAGTGACCCGACAAGAACTGAGTTTGATGGTGAGTTCCCTCATACCACTCTTTTACAAATTACTTTGTTTTTATGAAAACGCCGCTACAGGTTACATTCAACCTTGTTTTACTAATGCGTGAAGCGAACACTGGTAGACGCATTCGATTTGCACGATCATGATTAGTTTGTCTCCATTGGCCCAAAAAAATATTTTGTTGCCCTCAGCAACCGACTGAAAAATATAATATCGAGTCCCGTTTTTTTTTTTTTTTTTTTTTTTTTTTTTTAATAGGCCGAGATATTACAAACTCAACATTTTAAGCAGTAAAAAAGTGTTTCCTCTAAAAATTAACGATCCCGGACCGTTGTATGATCCCCAGGATCTCCGGGGGTATAAGTGGCTACTTTGAACTTCGGGTTGATCTGTATTTCTCTGACACGTTCTAATACTATGAAGTCCACATACCTTTGCTATTTACGATACCCTTAGTTTTCACGAGTTTTAAAAAAAATCCGACCGACAGACCCAGACAGATTTTTCCCGACCCGAGCTGTTTATTTTAGACGTCAATTTGTGAGCTAAAAGCAACTCAACGTCGATCTGTTTTACTCTGTTGGCGGCACGATTGTAACTGGCTGAGAATCACTTTGACTCCCAATTCAGGTGTCGTTTTCTAATATTGCAAACTTGTTGGAGATACTTTCAATCCGTTCGATTCCAGTCTGAGGGGGACGCTTGTCCGAGTCGTCTGGTCGCCATATCATTCATCACAACAATCGTGGTCCATACAGAGTGGTATTGTTGTGATTACCAATCACCGCGTGATCGGGCGTAATCGAGCATCCAATCATTATCACGATTGTAATTGGTTAAATTCGATCATGACTGGACAAAACAAACGCGCCCTAGATAACCTTTGTAGATCCTTTGTAATTGAGCCAACATTTCCCAACTCAAATCTGTTTACGTTCAACTGTATGGTCTCTTGCAGTGTCCAACAGAGAAAATCACTGAACCCACAAAAAATCGAAGCTGGGCGCTTTTTGGCAAACATTTTGCTAAAATGACCGAAAATCTTAAAAATTTGAGTCAAAACAATGGCACATACCTGTATACTTCAACCATTAAAGTACCTCCCCCTCCACACCCCCGAAGGTGTGTAATTCTATATGGATAACGTGATCATGCATACAGTGAATATGTAATAGAATTTATATTTATTTTAGTTTCTAATATCAATTATTAGATCATATTTCTTAATTATTGATTGCACTACCAGGACAGTTCTGAGTTCTAGTGACAATGATATGTTATCAGTGCACATTGATACACGGGGATTTCATTGTATTTACATCATGAACTTATTCTCTAATCTTGACAAAACTTCTCAATATGACTAAAACTTTATCGAATCAGAGCGTGGTGAGTGGATTACTGAACATTTGTTTCCGCCTTTCTAACAAAGCTATAGCTCTAACCATTGGGGTAGGTATGCTCTATCGAATAATGCTATTCTAATTTAATCAAGACAATCGCCGTTATCAATACAATCACATGTAATTTAAACAACAACAACCGTCTCTCAGGCACAACGGATAGCGCGTTGGACTTCTAGAGGTGTAGTAATTCGGAGACTGTAGGTTTGTGATTTCTTTGTGATTTCAGTTTTGTTTCTGTGCTGAAGTAAGTCGATTTCCAAATTAAAACTGGTATCGCATTAAATTAAAAAAAAACTACGTATTGTTTTTGTTTGTTAAAAAAATCTAGCTCTTGTAAATAGGTGATTTTCCGTACAATTGCGATATCTCGCGAGATGCATGAAAGACGCGCGTCGAACGTCTGCCGCAAAAATCGAACGATTTGATTTTGAACTAGAATTTCTTTATTTCGTAGCTTACATTGACCGGCCGATCTTCGACAGAGGAATATTGCTTCCGAATACCCTCACTTAATCGAAATTGCCTATCATCAAATGTGGACAGCACATTATTAAGCATGGAAATGTCCCCAAAATACTTTCGCGTTTGTCGAATCCCACGTGATGTTTGACGCGACTACGACGCTATGACCTTTGTTTGTCCTGTTTTTACGTTCGATTTCACGCATAACGCGTGATTCTCGCAGTGTACGGAAAATGGTCTATTCACAACCCCACTTTCGAATAGAATATCACACAAGACTTTCAAAAGTCTTGTACGAAGTACATGTGCTGTAGAAATTTAAAACATTGTTTTTAGCTGCGTGAAATCTATCTTTGCAATTGTGTCATGTAGAAATAGTTTAGATATTCACATGATGATAAACATATCAATATTTATTATACAACTTTTATCATATTAAAAAAAAAACAGTGGTCGACATTAAATTCGTTGGTAGAACCATGGTTATAGTAGAACAATGAACAATTTATAATCAGAGAGATAAGAAGAACAAAGTAACCTTCATCTAGACAATGGTCAACTATCAATACGTTTAATTATGCTTCGTGAAATGGATCGTCTCCGTGGCGCAACGGATAGCGCGTCGGACTTCTAGAGGTGTAGTAATTCGGAGGCTGTGGGTTCGAATCCCACCGGAGATGCATTTTGTTTATTTTTACCACTTTGCTGTGTTTTGAAATTATACTTTCAATTTGAAATTGTAATTGCACATTTTAAGCTAGCAGCTAGTTGTTTTTGCTAACTCAGCTGCTACCTGTAATTTAGATAATTTACGATTTATCCAATTCAACACAAACATATATTCACACTATATAATTTTTGGAACAAACTTAAGTAAATGATATGGTAAATTGTTTGTTCAGCCCAATTCGATAAAACTGCCAAATTAATGTTTTTAAGTGTTTACTGCAGTATTCTTGGATAAATCTCTGCAACGAGGCATTCGCAGTCACTAAATATATTTCAAATTGAGTCATTCGAAAACTCGACTATGAATAGAAATTGACAACTTGAACACGATCGCGTATGGTGCTCTCGATGGGCACTCATAAAATAAATTAGATAGATCACACGCATCATTCCGCAAGTCTTTATAATTAAATCTTCGGCAGTTTTCCATACAGAAGGCCTGCAAAGAAATGCAGTATTCATTTCATTAAGGTAAATTTTCTCTCAGTATCTTGGTGTAAACTGAGAACATACTTTTCAAGGTAGAGTGAACCAAGTGATTATCGGTCTCCAAATTTGGGAGGAGAATACTAGTAACGCACTGGAGAGAAGCACTTGTAGCCAAGGTGTTTATTGCTCAACTGCTAGGCCTGGAACTGAGTCTAAACACTCACGAGATGTTCCATGACAATGTATCAATATCATGCAAATAACTAAACTAAACGTCATAGCCTCAAATAATTATTCATGGTTTCAATGACCGTTGACGAAAGTAAAGATAAGATATGTAAATGTCTGGGGCTCTAAACAAAACTTCCAATTATAATCATGATTGTTGTTTGTTTGATTGTTTCCTAACTCTACGACTTTAATTCAATTCTTAAACTTAAAATGACAAATGCGAGTGGGAAACTATAATATCAAAGAATATATTAGCGTTCCGTTACTGAGAGACGCTCGTCCGAGTTTTTTCTTTTTTTGTACTTGGCCATTGGTTAGAATTAAAAAGTATATTTTAAATAATCTGTAACACTTCAACAACACAGGATGTGCATTCAATTGTGATATGTCAGCCATGTACATGTGGGGAGGAATGACCATGTATTAAGTACACGTCACGGTGCAATGGAAGACTTGTTTCAGCTACGTGGAATCTATCTTTTCAATTGTGTTATGTGGAAGTACTTAGATCTGACATACTATGATATATATCTATGAATATTTATTATCTAATAATCATAGAGATAGGGAGGACAAAGTAACCTTCATCTAAACAATGGTCAACTAACAATACGTTTAATTATGCTTCGTGAAATGGATCGTCTCCGTGGCGCAACGGATAGCGCGTCGGACTTCTAGAGGTGTAGTAATTCGGAGGCTGTGGGTTCGAATCCCACCGGAGATGCATTTTGTTTATTTTTACCACTTTGCTGTGTTTTGAAATTATACTTTCAATTTGAAAAAGTAATTGCACATTTTAAACTAGCAGCTAGTTGTTTCTGCTAACTCAGATACCTGTAATTTAGATAATTTACGATTTAGCCAATTCAACACAAACGTATATTCACACGATGTCATTTTTAGAACAAACTTTAGATTATGGTAAATTGTTTGATCAGCTAATTGTTTGTTTGATAAAACTGCCAAATTAATGTTTTTAAATGTTTTATCTCAGTGGATAAATCTCTGCAACGAGGCATTCGCATCCACTAAATATATTTCAAATTGGATCATTCGAACACTCAACTATGAAAAGAAATTGACAACGTGTATGGCGCGCTCCTCTTAACCTTTGTAGATTTTTTATGATGGAATCGAAATTATTCGACTGAAATCCAGTATGTTCAACTTTATAGTCTATATAATCTATAGTCTATGTATAAACTGTACAGTCGGTAGTCCAATGAAGAACAACTTAAAAAAAACATTGTTTTATTATTTCACGCAAACCCGCTTATAAAATGTGAAGTTTATTCGTTAAGAAATGGTTCTTCTAAAAGGCTGTAAACGTTCAATCTAATAAGTTAAACAATTTTGTCAACTACATCTGTAACAACTGATTTACATAACTAGTTTTGATTTTTTTGTGTTTTTAAAAAGTTTTGCTTTTTTTGTGCTTGGCCATGGTTAGAATCAATACTGAGATCTAACACACTATGATCTATATCTATGAATATCTATTATCTAATTTTGAACATAGTTTGAGAACCAATGATCAGGCGATGAACACTGGCATTGAATTCATGGTAGAACAATGGACATTTTTAGTCTAGTGACCTTAGTGACCTTCACCAAGACAATAGCCGGTTATCGATACAAACACATGTAATTGCGATATTATACAGATCGTCTCTGTGGCGCAACGGATAGCGCGTCGGACTTCTAGCGGTGTAGTAATTCGGAGGCTGTGGGTTCGAATCCCACCGGAGATGCTTTTTTTTGTTTATTTTCCGTGTCAGTGTTTTTGAAGTTATACTTTTCAAATGAAACAGTAACTGGGCGAGGTATTCCCAGCGACTAAATATATTTTAAATTGGGACATTCAAAAACTCAAGTCATGATATATAATGTTCCCCGCTCCAGAATAATTTTAAAATATTAAGTTAGATTGATCATCATATGACAAGTCTTCATATTATTAATAATTTAATCTTTGGAATTATTTCCCATACCGAAGGTCTGCAAAGGAATGCAATATTGATTTCATTTAAGTGATTTTTCTGTCAGTATCTTGATATAACGAGATTCGTGATTTCATTGACTGTTGACGACTGCAAAGATATGTAAATGTGTGTGGCCGTTAATTTAAACCTGTAAATGACAAAAATGTGAGTAAAAAAACAACACAAAATCAACAGAAACTGTGTTATCAGAGAATATGCCTTAGTGTCTCATTAACTAAAAAATGAAATATTTGCAATCCGTCATTTTCGGGGGACGCCTGTCGCCTGTCGCCCATCACAACAATTATAGTCTAGTGTGGGATTACCAATCACAAACGTGATTGGGCGTAATTGAACACATAATCACTGTCGTGATTAGTTAGTTACTTACAATCATAATAGGACACGCTCCCCTATTAACCTTTGTATATGTTTCGCAATGGAATCGAACTTTTCCGATTCAAATCTAGTACGTCTAACTGTATAGTCTATATAATCTATAGTCTAGGTATAAACTGTACAGTCCGAGTCGTTGGCTGAACTTACAAAATTACGGTCAATATCTCCGTTAAAGCACTCATTCACCTACAAAGGCATATATGAGCACATATTCCAGTTCCCAGGAATAGATAAATCCAAAACCCACAATTTCCAATGAAATGTGCTACAAGACCATGTATTAAGTACACGTGCTGTGGAAGACTTGTTTTCAGCTACGTGGAATTTATCTTTTCAATTGTGTTATGTGAAAGTACTGAGACCTAACATACTTTGATATATATCTATGAATATTTATTATCTAAATTTGAACATAGTTCGAGAACCAATCGACTGCGTCACCGTCCCTCAACGAACGTTGACTGCATGGACATTGAATTCATGGTGGAACAATGAACATTTTTTGTCGACAAGTATAGTGACCTTTATCAAGACAATAGCCGTTTATCGATACAATCACATGTAATTGCGATATTAAATAGATCGTCTCTGTGGCGCAACGGATAGCGCGTCGGACTTCTAGCGGTGTAGTAATTCGGAGTCTGTGGGTTCGAATCCCACCGAGATGCATTTTGTCTATTTTTACCTCTTCTGAATTTTTTCAGTAAGTACGTTGATTTAGCTAATATTGCTACCTGTAAATTTGATAATTCTAAATTCAGCTAATTCAGCAATACTTGATTTCTCGGGATGAAATTCTTGGCACAAATTCTCGTGAATCCTCAGTGTGTTCAGCTTAATTTGATTAAAATTACGTATTTATGTTTTAAAGTGTTTTAATTCTTGGATCTTTGCAATAATACCCTTTAATCACTTAATATATCAGTAAATCCAATTGTGAAAAAAAAAAAATGTCAACATGAGCGAGCAATCCGGTGGCCACACGCACTACAATCGTGTATACTGCCCTCAGTCGGCACTTATTAAATAAAAGAGAACCTCCCATTATAAACAATGTTAATATGTACAATGATCCTCATTTTGCAAGTGATATTATTGATATTAAATAGTGTATAAGGATACGTTAAAAAAACAATTGGTAATTTTGTTTTTATTTTATGTATTCTAAAGGGTGTAATAGCCCTAGTGTGTTAAACCGGGGGGGGGGTCTGTACTAATTACTAATTAGTATTAAATATTTGATGAAACTAGCATTTATGTTAATTTCGGTCCGAAACTTTTCAACTCTTTGATTACAAAAGTGAACATTTGTTGCGTTTCACAAAATAGAACCCACAATTGTTGTGTTCGTTATTTCAGAATTTTGATCAACACCACGCTAATAGGTATAATACATAAATTTGGGCAAAGTGTGGCACCAATTGTTTCGCAGTAAATAGTTAGATATGTAATATAATAACGAACATTTATTAACAACTATCGTTTATATTCTGTAGTTCCAGTCAGCTCTGCTCAAAGTAGAACCAAGCAGGTAAGACAGTATTTAATCCACAAACGTTGATTGGTTTTACGGCTAATGTCGGTACTGCACGTGAAGTGTAAAAGTTAGCATTGGACGCAATCTGCGGGTCAGGTCATGTCATGAGGGCCTCAGCCTTCGTAAATTACCGAAATATCTACCGATATCAGTGCTGGTAACAATGAGCAGTTGATAGCCGCAATTTCGACAGCCAAGCACCATTTCAGTTTACAACTTTGTCAGTCTTTGCTAACTTTGCCTGGATATTTAAAGCGGGGGAGTCGTCACCTGCGCATGCGTCAGATGGACACAGCGTGTTTACAAACAAGCGAACCTTTGCGTTTTAGCTTGTGTTGTTATCATCGCTTGAAACTCAATTCCCGCGCGTGCGCAGGTAACGACCCTCCCGCTTTAATCATAGATATGTACACGTATTCAAAATAATCATCTCGAAATTTGTTCATGTGTTGTTCTTGTAGGAATTGGGAGAAGCCACGGTGCTTGCTATTGATAATATGACGCGG